TTACATAATTGTTTCTTCTTCGAATAAAGTCACATATGACGAATATAGCGTGTTTGAGCTATATTGATTCAATGTTATAATAGTTCTTTTTCAGTGAATAGTGACATATCGTATCAATTTCACTATAAATAGCATATATCATTTACTCTATGTAAAACTCTTCTTAAATATTATATATATTTCATCCACTATTATTCGAAGCTATTATATTACCCCATTCTTTCAATGCATAAATAATCTGTTCTGGTTTTTTTTCGTGCTTCTCTCCTTGTTCTCGTTTGAAATATTTCAATTTAAAACACTCGAAAAAAAAAAACAGATTTGAAGAGTGATGGCGACGTCGTCTGAAAAGCCGAAAAAAAACGTATCGCATATCACTTTCATAGTGTGTTTATGGCATTATACCGTCAAGCTGGGAACGCACATTGTGTAATGCATATATGAGCATCTGTCGGATATGATCAGTTTGGTTTGCTTATTCAAGTAGACACCAGTCTATGTATTTCGGATGGATATCCATCCGAGATATTTTAGAATATCTGGATATTTAACGCAACTGCACAGAGCCAGAGCTGTGTGCGTCGCACATATAATCTACGGTATGTCGCTACACGTAAAACACAGACACAGTGTGACTGTGTACGTGCGACACTTGATACACATATACGTCGCGACATACCGTAGATTCTATTTGCGACGCACACAGCTCTGGCGCTGTGCAGTTGCGTTGAATATCCAGATATTCTAAAATATCTCGGATGGATATCCATCCGAAATACATAGACTGGTAGACACCATAGCAACTTTATCATCATCATCACTCAACTTTGCTTGAAATGCATTTGCATATATGATTAAAAGTGTGCACGGTAGAGTATCGAAAACGAAAAAAAAAAATAAATAAACGCGAAAAAGAGATATTCGAATTTCTGCAAATTTATCAACCGAAAATCGCTTGTTCACAATTTTCAACGAAATTGAATAATATTGCCATTTTTCTTGTTGTTTTTGAGTGCCAAGTTTTGAGTGTGTGCGTATTTGTAAATTTTTTAAGGTATTTACTCCCTTGGTGCTTTTCTCGATAAAGTGATAAAAAAAATAATAAATTACCCATCGTCATTTTATTGATACATGGATTCTGATTAAATTTAGCACTTCTTTTTTCGTCGTTGATCCATTGTTACACTTGTTGAGAATTGTTCAGTTCGTGATTCAGTCGTTAATTCTTTCCGCCGGATGAATGTATTTTATTTGGTGTGGAATTTAGCGGTGTGTCGTTTTTTTGGTTACATTTTACCATGACATTTTGCACAATCTCTGTCGCTACCTAAGATTTCGCTTTTCAGGCAATTGTTTGGTTTAGCCAAGCATTTTTTTAAGCTTTCTTTTTGAAATGGAATTTTTTTTCTTCTTTTTTTTTTTCAAATGGAAATTGCTCTGATTTTGTATTGCATTCAATAAATATCCAATTTTGGATCGAGTAATTCAACGGCTTTTGTGACGAACTAACGATTAAGATTTTCTATGATTAAAAGCAAGGGAAAGAAAGACATATCCAAATATAGACGGAGAAAGAGAGAGACAGATATAGAGAAACTCAGATTATGCTAGAAAATCGATTTGTCATTTGTTATGTATCGTAAGCGCTTTTGACAAATTCGAACAATAACACAGACATTTTCACTTTGAAAATGCAAATTTAATGAAGATTCGTATGTTATTTATCATGACCGAATAGTTTCTATTGGGTAAAAATCACGAGAGACCAAACGATTTTTGTCGATGGTTAGTGATGACACATACACATTTAACCAAATCGATAAATAAATTAGCTGAAATTAGAGAATCACGTACACACATTTAGAGGCACACACTTGGAAGTGATAAATGTGTGACAATCAGCATGAAATTTATCTGTGAATAAAATAAAATTAGTTCACAATTGAAAGTGGATCGAACATGAATAAGCAATAAATGATTTGGTCAAGCACACTGTTTTTCAACGCAAAAAGTTTTCAAATGCACGGTGAGTTTTATGATTTACACGCCATGACCTGTCACTAAAAGTATTTATGGCTAAAACAATGCACACACTTTTTGGTTATGCATTTTTTATGTGAGAACGGTCAAAAACTGTTAATGGAGTAAAATATACCTCGAAAACCTATCGAATAAAACTAAAACAACAAAATCTTCAGCACATTTGCTACAAAGTGTCAATGATGTCTCATTTTATTTTCATGGCCTTGTTTTAGTTTTTAACGACTTTTCAAAAGTACAAACCAACAAAAGAAATTCGAAAAATGTTGGCGGAAAATACATGACAATTGGCATGACACACACACCCAAATCAATAAGGTTTGTCGCTTTCGCTGTCGTTAAATTCTCACGATACAAATCCAAAATGAGATTACAATTTAAATGAATGTGTATTAAATGAGGATGACAACAAAACAATTTGGTTAAACGCCCACCAAATTAATACCGGTCAATTTCACTCACGCATCGCACATACATAAATGGAACAAATATTCTTCTTTCAATAAAATTTCTGTTTGGCTACACATGTTTGCGTCGAGGATAAGGGTCAATATTCATAAATGATTCTTTGTTGCAACGAAGAAAGCGATATCTGTAAACAAACATTTTTTTCATGCACAACTGTAGACTAAATATGTGTGTACGTGTTTTTTTCGTTGTTGCAAAACAACAGCGAAAAATCGAATAAACATCGTAAAAATCAGACAGAGAGAAAGAAATGAAACCGAACGAACGACATAATATTTGTAAACGAATGTGTAAAAGAGATGATACAATTCGAGTTATGGCGACTTGCAATCTAAAACAACTGGCCTCCATAACCATCAAAGAATAAAGTGAACAAAAAAAAAGAAAATATCGTGTACGAAATGAAGAAAAAAAAGTAGCCACACACCATATGAGTGACTTTCTCTGAGCGTAGAAGAAAAAAAAGCACGTAAAGCGCAACTATCATCCGTTTCAATAGAGCTAAATAAAAGAAGAAAAAAATGTTGTGATTACGAACTTGTACTGTTTATACGCATGAACCTAAACACACACTATTTTCATTTCTTTCACGCTAGCATTTCAAAACTGTGGATTCGCCAAGTTCCTTCGTTTGTCGAGCAATGAAAAGAAGTAACAGTGCAATGTTGTTTACAGTATGTGATACAGTTAAGGAAACGACTTTCATTATTATACACATATGTATCAAATGCTTTAGGGCGCTTCGGTCAGAGATAAAGTAAATCGTTTGTGATTGAAAGGCCGTCGGTTGTATCGATTCCAAGAGAGAAATAATGCGCATTATAATCTAACCGATGCGACAGAACACACAAATATTTCTTTAACAGTTTATCAATAAACCGTATTGGTAAGCATTACAAATCGAACGCATATTTATTCTTCGTTTTTTTTTTAATCTTATTTCTGCCTTTTTTTATTCAGACATAATAAATGTATGCACCTGAGCCAATACCCCACCATGGCTGGCACACGGTATCTCAGCGATATACCGATGAAAAATACAATTTCACAACGGCACTTAGACATTGGTCAAATGATAAGCAATGCTCGTCTCTATTCATCGGAACTAAAGTAACAAACAAAAAAAAACCGATGGTATGTCGTCGTCGTTGTCGTTATAGTACCAGTTTACTTATTTCAATGTGTTTGTGTTTGCGCAAAGGCACAAATGATAATCGTTCGATAACAGGTCTCTTTCAATCGAATAAATTAAAATCACATACGATCGTAACGGATGCTATGGCTCAGGTATGGCCAAAGAAAAATGAAATAAAACACTTCAGAAATCAAGAAACAACACAACATGATTAACGAAGGCGAAGATATTGGCAACGAAGCGGCTGCAATAAAATGAATGAAAACATGAAATTTCATACGAACAGATTTTCTCTCAATTTTCACCATGCATGAAGCTATGCTATAGGCGTTTAAAACCGAGCATAGATTTACAGAAAAACAAAATGTAATGTGTGCATATACATGTATTTTATGTTGTTTTTTTTCTTCTTTGGTTTCTGCCAAAATCAACTAAATGTTCCGTTGAAGCGTAACATACCAAATTTAAAATGAGAGAGAAAATAAAGAGAAACATTGACGATTTAATGATTCATTTTGAAAATGTGGGCATCTGATTTCACGAACAGAAAATCATCACACGCATTACAAAATTGTATACAAAAAAAATAGCAAAAGAAAAAATTGTTTCACATGCACACACGGGTTCAAAACGCGCACACATGTTCAACAAAAACTGATAATGTTGCAGTCCAATGCCGTCAAAGCTATTGCACGAAAAACAGCCAATACTTTGAACCAATTTGAAATCGGTAAACGAGGATTGGAAACTGATTGGTTTCGTATGGTTTCCAACTACAACTGAACTACACACGAGATTTTGATTCGTAGAACCGGTTTAGTTTAACCATTCACATAACTCTCTCAGATTCTCTCTCTATATCATGCACACACAGAGAAAACAACACGACGGCCACCGTAGAATGAGAGATTGTTACATTAAAATAAAATGTAAAACGAAAAATGTTCATGAAATACCAAACGAGAGACGCCAAAAATGAAACGAAAATAATAATAAAAAAACACAACATTATACATGTAACACACACATGTTGTCCGCATTAAAATAATACATTCGGCTATCGATACCCGAGGAAACCATTCCCTTTATTTACACAGTCAGTTGATTTTGGTTTTTGGTATTTTATCATATTATATTTTATTTGGTTACTAGTGGCTGACAACAACAACAAAAATGTGATATAAAACATTGTGATATATTTGAAATTTGAGGGAAAAAGCATGCAAGAGCGTGAATCATTCCGATTGCGATAAAAAAAACTCAACATCAAGGCAACAATCTATCGTTTTTATATTTATGCGTAAAATTGTTTTGAAAAATCTATTTTAAAAAACTAATGTTTTTTGATGACACTCACCCGCAAGCTATGCTATTTCGTCTGATTAATAGGAGCCAATAATGTTTGTTGCCGAAAATAAACTCTTTGAAAATATGTATGTTAAAAGCTGATTAAAGAGAGGTTGAATTTAATAATTTATAAAAATGTCACAATTTATTCGCTTGTAGTTTGTTGCACTATGAACTCCCGCTCTCTCTCTCTCTCCTCTCTCTGTTTGTCTCTTTGATATTTTTCCACAAACACATGCACTGTAATTATTTTATTAAGAATTTAACGTATATTTCATGTTCAATTCGATTGGCGGTTAATAAATTTTCACTGCATACTCATTCTTTTTCGTGGAATACGAATCGTGAATTTACAGTCAATAACTTGCCCGCATTTTCAATCAATTTCATTTGTTCTCTTTCACGATTTCACCATAAATAATCGACTTTTAAAAAAAATCAGGTATTTATCGTATTTTTTTCATCTTCATTTATTCACTTTTGTATCAGAATGGTTGGAACCGTTTGACAACGACGTCAAACGAATAAAATAAACAATTTTATTTATAAACCACCGAACTTTTGATTGAAAATATGAAATCACACCGATTTAACTGTCAAATGCGTATAAAATACACACGTTGTGACTTTCTACGTAAATGTGGAATGCTGCCACAGAAAATGTTGGTGAGCGAATGTCTCTTACTCTGTGAACACAACGAATGCCGGTAACAGACTGACGTCGTGAGCAACAATACCAAATGATTTTGTATTGGTAAAGGTTGTGTGTATGTGCTGTTATGCTCACGCGGTCGTCGCTGTGAGTCGACGGGACGCATACCGCTTCGAATACGTGCCAATGTATTGTTTGTTACTTGATGCATACGGATGATCGTAATGAAGGCAACTTGTTGGTATATGCAAGTCTCATCATCCATCGTTTGTTGTCCGGTAGTTCACAAGGTGTATATGCTTTAAGTTCATTTAAACATTTTGTTGGATCTTCCAACATCGTTCAACGAAATACAATTTTATTTCGCTTTTTGCAAAGATAGTTTTACCGATTGACTTATGGGACAACTGCAGGATCTAAATCGATGCACATTGAACACGATTCACTAGTTGTAATGCACTAACGCAAAAAAATATCACAAGTTCAAACAATACAAACAATTGAATGACGTTTTGTATACATACAGATTGCCTTCTTTTTGACACAACGAAATTATTGTATCTTTTCCTTTCTCTTTTGGTCCAGTTCGGACGAATAATTTTTTTTTCGAAACAAGACGAAGATATTAAAGCCAAAAACGCTGCGAATTGTATCAGCAGCAGCAGCATCAAAGTTCATGAATAGTTAGCATTGTTGTTGCTTCACTAGAGAGAGAAGTTGTCGGCTGATTCAATACATTTTGTTTCAATTTTTATTTTCTCATTTCATCGTTTCGATCATGCGACCGAGAGCGTGCGCTCACACACAAACTGAGTGCCATGCGTTGTGTATCGTTGTTGTTTTAGTTTATTTTTTCTCATTCATCTTCTCCTTTCTTTTTGTCGACTTTTTTCTCTTCACTCGTTCACTCGTTGTTTATCATTTTTAGCTGCTGTTGATCTTCGCATTTCATCATTGCCTCTTTTTCTGCATGTACTGCATCTTGAACTGCTGCTGTTGCTGCTGCTGATACAGTGCCAGTTGAAATGCATTACGGCCACTGTGCATCTCTTTCTTCACAACGAAAAAAAAAAAATTATACGTAAATTGGTTGAAAATATTTTGCAGCACTTGCAGACAAAGTTTCAGAGATTTTGAAGAAACGAACAAATGATGCGGACCAAACGAACGAAAGAGATGGATGAAATGGGCGCAAGAAGTAAGAGCATGCACACTGAATAGGCGATATATATTGTTTATATATGTATCTATAGACACACTGAAAAATGTGCCTTTGATCGCATCAGAAATTATTCGTCTTGGCAACTACGAAAAAAAGTTCAAATGGCACGAATAAAAGAGTTTTATATATCATCATGATGGTGAAGACATTCTGAGTGCCAAACAGAAGAATCACATGCAACTTAAAATGAACATGTTCCCCGAAACCATTCATTCTTTTTTTTCATTCGGTCGTCGTCATCGTCCTCGCATCTCGTCGCATTGCTATTTTTTATTAGCACCGATTTTTTTGGGTTCTTCATGATCTTTGTGCTGCATTCCATTCTATCTTCATAACGATGCTACACATTTTGGGATCGAAGCAACCACATCCATATGCACATCAGCGTATATCGGGCAGTGCACAGATTGCCTGCTTGTTGTCTTTTGACGGTATGCCCCATTTTTTGCCATGGTAATTTAATATTTCTTTTTTTCATTCACCGAACGAAACGAAAAAGCGCAAATCAAATTAAAAATCATCGAGCCGAATCATTCTTTTTTATTTTTCATTTTTAATAATTTTTTTAAATTCATTGTACAGGATTTTTTTTTGCCTTCCCAGCAGAAGTATTATAATCATGTCAATAATCGTTTAGGCACAATTAGTTTTTTTTTACTATATTTACGTAAATATGTGAACAATGTAAACTGCGTACGGGAATTAATGAAGACTATTTTCAAATGTGCGAAGCAACGAGATTTACAGCTTACATTACATTACAGGATGATAATTTCGAAGAATGAAAACTTATAGATTTTAATATTTTTTTATATTCGGAAATTTTCAAGAAGGTCTGAATCCCAATTGCTATTGTATGGATGCTTTGGTTTGGGATGGTTTGTTTGGTATTCTGTTTGAAACGTGTTTCATCTATTTTATTGTTAAATTATGATATTTCCGTCAGTCGGAAGGTACTTTTTTACCGCATCGTTTTTCGATCATCTCCATTATCAAACCAAAGTGTGTAATCGGTTCATTTAATTCAGTTTGGGTAATTATTTTTGGTGGATTAATCATTTTGTTTACATAAAATCCGATTCAATTGAATTTGATAGCAATATCGGCTTCAATTTTACTCTCTTCGCCTCTCAATAATGAATTGAATTTCATTTTTATATTTTTCCATGTGTAAAATCATCGAATATATTGTATTACTGAACGTATTTTTTTGAAGGATTAAAAAATATGTATATCTTTTGTTCTCTTTATTCTTCGTTTCTCAAAAAAAAAACTTGATATAATAATTGAAAAGTTGTGGCACACAAGATGGCTACACGAGAAACTCACATACATACAGAAAAAAATTCCTTAGAAATTCAGTAGTCGTTCGTTGTAGAAGTTTCCGGTTTAATTCCATTAAACAAAAAAGAAGCGTATCTGATATGAAAATATTAAATTTTAATGATAATAAAGTTTACAGATTTTTTGACTACCATAAATTGGGAACGAGTTCTTCGGTTATTTTTTGTGTTTGTCATTGATGGCGTTGTTCATGTAATCGGTGCAGCACCAATGTTAATTTAAACGTGCACGTTTTCGCATATCGATTTTTAACGTATATAATTACAGTCTACTCTCTCCTTCTCTGCCACTCTTTCGGCCGTCTTCGGTTTGACTGATGAATGAATATTTTAGTATTTGTAAAGTTGTAATGAGAACGAATTCTTTTCATTTGAGTGTTCACTCATTGCCGTCGATACTGTCACATCGTGAACACTGATGTTCACTTTTTAGTGCCGCCATCGATTACATTATCAATTCATACGACGCTTCGAAAAAAGTATATTTCGATTATATGCATAAAAATACTTTACCGTCGTGTTTACGAAGAGCCGAAACTGATTGCTTTTTGAGTGGATTGATGTTTAAGCAGGTGTCGGAACGACTTTTTTTCTGGATATTCTCCAACGAAATGTCTGTGGTTGAATTTCCGAATATTCTTCGGTAGTAACGTTGATTTTTTTATTGTTTTCTACTAACCCATGAATAATTGATGAGACACCGAATAAATTTGTTTGAATTCTTGCAAAAGAAGGGTTTCACCGGTTGATATTAGAATCAAATAGGACCGAAAGCGTTGGGCGGGCATTGAGTGTGAAATCATCTGTACGGAAATGTGTTTTTAATGAAGTTTTGAATTTTCCGCTGTTGTGTGAAGAAGAAGTTGTGTGTGCCATTGAAGAGTTAAGAAAACATGGCTGAAAAGCGATTCAAAAAAAAACAATTATTGAGACTTTTGTAGGCGACAATCACGTCGCGAACACGACCACATGCAAACCACATTTGGTATGAATTTTGAATGTCACATCGCTGCTACTGGGCATTCGATTCACTTTTTGAACAATAATAGTTTTGAAATAAAAATTACGCATTCAAGTCATAAGCAAATGATTTAAACAAAGTTATTTCAAAATGTAACGTTTTGTCTGCGGTTGCGGTGCAAAAATTTAAATGCAAAAGTGGTCACCAATTGATTTGTTGAGCGGTTAACTTCTGAATTCAAACGTCCAAAAAACAGTCCGGAAAAAATGTATGTTTTTGAATTGGCTGCAATTTACCATTTCGTGAGACAATTTGAATCAATTAGTAGAACATACAGTTCAATTCAGCAATTAAAACCGTGTGCTGAAGACTAGTCTAGCAAGAAACATATGTAAAATTAAAAAATAATGTTAGTTCCTACAAGCAGAACTATCTTTTCCTTACGACACAACGGTTAATTGAACATAAAAATTGAACGGTGGCCTATTTCGACCGTATTACGACGGGCCCTCTTCCCGCCCTACGTCCCAATGTCAAAGAAATCATTTGGGAGTGGATAAGGAATTGGAAGATGAATTGGTGAATTTCAGTATCAGTTTTTGATCATATGTGTGTAAAAATTAAAAAAATTCAAAGTATTTCGCAATATTTTCTCTATGTGTTTAGGGCCCATACAAAGAATTGTGCTCACTTTTTATAAATCCGATTTCAAAAAAATTGTATCATATCAATTTATTGAACATACACAGATCAAACGGCTGAGACATGCTTGTAAGCGGTCAATGACAAGCGCAACAAAAAATGTCTAAAGGTAGTGCGCCAAAGACGTAAAAACGCTGACTAAGATTCTTACATTTGTTTCAGTTACATAAAATTTAAATTAGTTCAAAACGTACAATTCATGCCTAATAATCCCACCAAATTTACGATTACTTCTTTTTAACTAGCTATAAAAACAAAAGTTACTTCCACTCCAAACTGTCAGATGAAGATGGATATATCAGATTAGAATTATGGCTACTTGTAAAGCGAAATTGTTTTTGGTCATAAACAAAATCGTATAACAACGCACCGATGTCAAAATACATTTGGTACAGTTATACGCACGCATACTCCGTCATAGCCCAATGGGAATTTCTATTTATGTTTCGTAGAATTTCACATGCAAATTAATGCGTACGGTTTTTGATGTGTCTAGTAATATCAGATCGTCTGATTTAGTCTCTTTCTCTTTTTATTATACTTCTTAATTCACCAACGAACAAATTCTTCGTTTTCATGTTTCCATGCGTAAACCATTCGTTATGTTGTTCGTTCTTTTTTTCTTTTTATTGGCATTTTTACTAGACACACCATAAACTATTCGGGAGATTGTATGAGATGTCGATCAGTGATAAAATATCTCTGGAATATTAGCGTGGTCATGCGAAACTCAATGAACAAATGTTGGGCGTCATATTTACAAATTATTATTCTTGTTTAATGGCCTATTTTAGTCTAACATTCACTTTGTCATTTCTTTTGAAATGAAAGGGAGAAAGAAAAAA